CGTGGGCAGCATTCCACGCAGAGGTAGAGAGGTTCTTTCTTCCAGGCGACACATGAGTTCGCTGGAAGATGCCATCCATCAGCAATGCCAACAAAGGCGAGAGAAGACTAAAGATTACATCTTGGCACTACAAACGCTAATACGCCAACACCCGACTATGTGCAGAGAGTATCACCTGGAACGCATCTACGATGGCTTATGCCTCTTTGTTAAGCGGCGAGAGTTTAAGATGATCGAGGAGCTGATGGATCTCTCTGACGAATTTGAGCTTCTGAAGGGCGAGGAGGCCAGAAATGGCAGACAGACAGCGCTCAGCCTATCCTCGATGAAGAAAGGTACAGTAGAGACGAATCCTGCTGACGTTGCAAAGGACGCGGGCACCGCCGCTTCCGATGACGAAGAACGAAAGGGCTATTCTACTCCAGGTGCGGCCGAGACAACATCCTCTCCAGAGACTGTCAATGCAACAACGCCACCGTTAAGCCACCCGGCAAAACACGCAGCACCGGAACAGCGCCGATCGCCACCGCTCCAGCGGACACTAACGCACAACAAGGAGGAAAAGTAGATGGCCGCTACTACATCAATGTGGTTATCGAAGGCATGAGGGTGCGCGCACTATTGGACACCGGCGCAACACTCACCTATGTCCACAAAACCATACGGAGGAAACAAGATCCCGCATCGGCCGAGTCACCGCAATGTGTAACTAGCTAATCAAACGTGCGTCTCCAGCCTGTACACGTATCCAGTAAAGATAAAGTATATAAGGGGCGAGCGACAACCACACTTGCTTCGGTATTCCCGAATCACGCAGAACGCAGGATTCTGGGGATGGACTTCCTCAGGGATAGAGGGATTGTCCTCACGCTGGATGGACCACCGTTACCTACATCCACCCCACCCAGCTTGCAACAACCCATCGCCGACGACATCAACTTCGAGCCAGCAGGCACTGGCAATAAGCAGTACAGCGAAGGGGGTTAAGCGTAGAACATTTAACGACCAGCAACCTGCAAGATGACGTACAGCTCACCGAAAATGGACCAACAAAGGCGCAAGAGAGCGACATCGCCGAGAACGCCGGAGAAGAGCAGCCAACCAGCTCCATGAAAATGTTAGACGAAGAGATGCGCAATTTTCGCGAATGCTTTCGGCTGAGACGCCACACAACAAACAGGATACACTGTGTGTGTGTGCGTGCTCGAAGCAAATATACGAGAATATTGTGTTTTGTTTGGTGGAGAGTAGTGGGACCTTCGCTGGACTGTGGATCGGCTGAGCGTACCCGGGCCTTCGACAAAACCCACCTCATACAATTCCAGGGTGTCAGAGCATTCCGACTTTACTTATTTTGCACTTACATATATTATACGAGAAGCATTTTTTTGTGATAGTCATTCGAATTGCATCGTTCTTTGGAATTTTAAAAATGACAGGTCAAATTAAACACCTTCGCCTGTTGATGTGCGATACAGTTTTATTTTCTTTTTTTTTTTTGAATTTGTTATCGGTATAGTGTGATTTCAAATTTAATGAAACCTGCACTATGCAAGAGCTCTCCTCACTTAAAAATGGCTGCATGGATTTAGATGAAATCTGGCACTCGAGTCGCTTATAACTCTGACTAACATTTGGAGTATTTTATAGACTTTTGAAATTCAATTTTGGGCATTTTAACTCCATGCGGGTCCACTAGTAATAGCTATTTACTTATATATTTTAGAACTCGTAGTATGCATACATATAAGTATGTACAATAAATCGGGTCGATCCTAATATTAACCAAAATAGTTTGTAATCTTACGCTGAGCGGATTTAGAGAGCATAAAAATGTTCGCCCTAGCCAGCTGCTAAAGCAGCCAAAACCACTTTTTTATAAATGATTTAGTAATTATCCGATTTAGCGATGAGTGACGTGAATACATATATATGTAGTTGAAAATTTGGTTTTAGAGAGCTATGCGTTTTTACAGATCATGGAAAGCCTCACAACTTACAAAAATTTATGTATTTTTTCAAAACTTAAATTGAGTTATTGAACACTGAAATAAGCTTACAAACGTTTTTTCACGACCCTGTCTAATGTGCATACCTACATATGTACTTGTGAAAATATATATCTAAAATTTCAATAAAACTCAAGTGCTGCATATGATGGACAAATATACTTTATTTTAAATTTAGGTACGAAAATTAGAACAAACTGATAAGATATTTGTTGACGACAAGCATTTATTAGTATGAGGTATACACACCTACCTACATACATATGTATAAATACAAACATCAACTATGAAGAAACAGTGAATTCTATTAATGCAAAATGACGTTGTTCGGTTGTCAAGTGTTAAACAAAAGCCTTTTTAATACGTGTGAGTTTATCGGCTTAATTATCAAACAAAAATATCAAATTGATGCCAATGACCACGAGCGCTTATCAACAAAATTTAACCACAATTTTTGCTTTTCGGTAAAGTCCACTTGTACCCATATCTAACTTTCATTTTTATTCTATTTAATAAATAACCAAATAAACCAACAACAACAGATACCAACAAATAAAAAAATTAGGTCAAGCATTCCTTCTACTGATAAAATTTGAGTTCCGTTTACGTGAGCTAGACCGAATTAAAAATACCTCAAAAAATGGTATTATTTTGATTCCGTTGGCAGGATTTTTAACAATTTTATGCAGACCTATTAAAATAGTTTTGTCCGCCTAGATTATCTATTCAGACCACTGTGCGTTGGAAGGTCATCCGTACTGATATTTCGCTGTGTCCGGGTACCCATACCACTTCTTTTTAGTAGCAGCTTTCACGGCTAGTTCGTTTTAAGATTTCCTACATATTTATGTATGTACATTCGACAGCCACTGTCAAAGAAGCGAAATCGCGGCACTATGGATCCATAGGGAGACTTACCTTACACATAGCGATTAATATGGCCTGGAATAGCACTGCTATATACCCAGTGGGAAAAGTAGTAATGCATTCCATGCGTGATAAATAATCGAATGTATTTCTTATGAGTTTTACATCTCATTACTGTTTAATATGTAATCGGCATTCGAATGTATTCAAAAGGCCCAAAAATTTCATATTAAATCATATTCATTTCTCGATACCGGGTAATGCATCGCCCTGGGAAAAAAAATGCTTTTTCGAATGTGAAATGGGTTGTGTTATTGATTATTTTTTCGAAAACCATACAATATATTTTCCCACTGCAATGGCCAGGGAGCCGTATGCTGAAAGGCCTTTAGATAAAGTTCGCTACCAACCCTTTTGCCGAGCTTTAACACAACTGCAAAAATGGCGACAGGCTATGACGTGGTTTATCAAGTGGCTTCTGGCTTGAATTCGAATAGAAAATCTAGTTTACGAAAATATTTCCAATATGATTATTATCTATCAGGTTTAGGGCAGCTATCCCCACAACTACATACATATAAACTTTTGATTTTTTGAGTATTCGAAATTTTCTTCGAAGAGATTAGTGTGGATTTCGAGATGGTTGCCTGCAGGATCGTTTTTGTTTCTAATTAATTGAAGACAGATGAGCTGACACACATCAATACTGTATGTATGAATGCATACAAATACATTTACACATCCAATTTTCATGACTACCCTGCAGAAAAAAATTTGAATTTTGAAGTAATGTGTGACGGGGTTCGAATATAGAACCACCCACAGCAGAATATGTAAACAAATATGAAATGTAATAAAGTAAATAAATAAAAAAATGAAAGGAAAATAAAAATAAAATATTTTGTTTTTCCTATTGATATTTTATGTCCAAAAGTATTTAGTTGCAAGTTAGTTATATCCAATGCAGGGGTAACCACCCTTTACTACATTTAATGCACAGGTAACCAGCCTTGACTATTTCGCGGCCATCGCCTTAGAAATATAGTTAGCTCTCGCCGAAGAAAATATACAGACAATAGTGACTTTTAGCTCCTTCCTGATCAACTTAAAGTTAGCTTATAGTTAGGTACATTTCCTGCAGGGTGCATGCAATTGCCAGTTGGTTTTTGGTGACATATACTACGTTTATACGCACAGAATAATCGACTTAATTGGAAGCGCATTGACACCGTACACATTTCGCTCTAGTGTTTATACTTACGGCCTTATATCGGCATCAAAGTAACCGTCTTCAAAAGCAAACAAAATAAGCTGTTTTCATTTGACATTTTATAAGTTAACATAATGGAAAGTGATAAAAATCTAGTTTTATTCGGCATTATAAAATCGTGGCAAAGAAAAAGAACGATTATTATTAATCAGCTTTTAAATACTGATGCGATTATTTGGAATTTGAGCGGAACAGCTGATCTCCAATTCGCTTTGAGTGAGAGCGGTGTTTATACACTCTTTCTAACTGTCTGGAGAAATAAACTACCGATTTGAAATGGAGTGTGAGCCAAAACACTTCGCTCTTTCAAAGCGAATTGAAATTCAGTTTATACATATGTTTTGAATCGCGGCGGAATGAATCAAAGCGACTTATGCATGCGTATAAACGTAGTAATAGGCTCGAATAGGATTTTAGTGTAAAGGTTTGGTGTATCACCTTCCATTCGTCGATTATAACTCATTCATTAAAATGTGTAAATAAGTATTTGACAGATTTATGAACAGTCACGCCTACTTAAATTAATACCCAATATATGTACATATGTATGTATGTATGTATGCACAAGACCTCAGGCTCATTTGCGCGTGAAGCCATTTAAGTATGCAGGCAATGTCGATTGTCAAAATTTGGCCGTATAAACTAATGAACCACAGGAAGTTGTAATGTCGATAATTACATAAAATTTGGTATTAAAGAGTATTGCATTGTAATTATATACTTAGAAACATTTAATCATAGTTATAAACGACGATAGACTACACTGATCAACCAATATAAATAACTTTATAATTTATGCGTTTGCTCAAATGAATGAAATGAAAGGTTTATTTGCATAAAATAAATGTGGATATTTATGTATGTATGTATGTATGTATTTTTTTTTTCAGGACGTACTTAACGAGCGTTTAGACAAACGTGTTGACGCCATGCTTGAACAGGGTTTGCTGCGCGAGATACGTGCCTTCCACAACGAACACAAAATTGATAAAAGGTAATTAAACTTACGGTTTGAACTTGCAACCGTATGTATGAATGTATGTATATATTTTTACTACTTACGTCTTGTGTCCAATTGTAGTTCATACCTAAAAATGTATTGTTAAAAAAACTCCTGCAATTACATATATTCTAAAATATATGGAAAGCAAAAAGCAGCACCCAAAACGATTAATCATTGTAATCTTTCGATAACCTATGTACTCGTATGTAGTATGTACAACTTGCTTCTTGCAAGTTGTCAAATAACTTTTTATGTTCATATGATTGTGTATTTTTTTGCTGCGAATAACTAAGTGATTTTCTTTTATTTATTTTTAAAAAATTGTATCATTAGCATGTAGCAGTACTTATAAATACTATATGAAATACATACATGTGTACATATGTACATTAGAACATACCAGAAAAAAAAGTTCGCCATACACTCATGAGTCTATAGAGCTGTTTGCTCAAGAAAAACCAAAAAGTCACATAAAATGACGCACAAGAAATGGAAAATTAGTTTACTTCTATCAAAATTTCTTAAATCAGTTTGCAGCTCTCAAAAAAAAATGTTCGTATATTTATTTCTGCAAGGAAATTTAGAGCAAAAGCAAAGTACTTTTTTAAGCAACAGAAATAATGAAAAATTTCTTGAGAGCTGCAAACAGACCTTATGAAAGTATTTTTGTGAGGCAATTTCGATTTTTTTTCTTTGCCAACCGTAGGGCGATATTTTTCGTAATATCTTCGGCGTTTATAGTCGAATCTTAAAATATGATATATCGATGTTTTTGCTTCGAGAAGACAAATTTTTTTCCTATGGTGATTGATCTGAAGTACCCCGTTCTAGTACTTGCCCACCATACCTCAGTTGCTACCACCCTAACGTACCATCCTAATGCCAGTAAATTAAAGCTCGCCAAAAGTTAAACGTTGCAAATTCTGTGTTTTTGGTGGCCTTTGGTAATTTTTCATGATATTTTCGGCATTTAGAGTCGGTCCTTAAATAATGTTACATCGATCTTTTCGACGCGAGGGGACAATTATTTTGTCACCGAAAAATTTAATTTTTTATAGAAGTTGCCTTAAAAATTTAGGCTCAGTGGTGCACGGCTAACTTTTTTTGTTTGCTTGTAAGGTGGTATGGTCTAATGAACATATGAATGTAGTACATATTTGTCTCCGCTATTCTTTCTAGCAAAACCGACAACTCCACAGCGTACACCCGTGGCGTACTTCAAACAATAGGCTTTAAAGAATTTATACCCTACTTGGAGCAGTTTGATGCAGCAAATGATCAGAAAATTGATGAGTACTTACGCTTGAATGCGTATAAAATGCCAACAGAAGGTAATTGAAAACAATGATTTAGTCTTTTTTCACTTTTTAATGCCACTTAATTTTTGGCATTTGTAATTCAGTTCATTTTTTACATAAATAGTATGTATGTACATATGTACACTGAGAAAGAATTATGATTTTAACCATTTAATTTTGTACACCCAGAAAAAAGCCAGCTAAAATTATTTCTCTCAACACATGATTTGGTAACTATAACCAAATAATGTAAGTATAACCAAATCATTCGTTGAGATAAATATATTTTGTTGACTTTTTTTCCGGGTGTATTTTAGATACAAATAAATATTTTTGAATAATAATAATAATTTGTGTTGGGAAGTATCGAGTACATTTGAGGATCGAGTTATTTGGTATCGATACTTTTAAGGATCGGGTATTTTTCAGAGTACTGAGTACTTTCTTTAAGTATACACATGTTGATGGCATTTCAATACTTACTGTAAAAATCTCACAAACTGGCAGTATTTTATTCAAATTAATATATGAATCCCAAATTACGTCACATGAATGGCTAACTGTACTGGGTACAAGTACTTGAAAATTATTCAAACTACAAATTGAGTACAATCATTTCTGAATACCGTTAAATGTAAATAAACGTCAATACCTTTTAAGGCTATTCGACACTTAATACTGAGTACTTTGAATCGATCCTGAGTACATGTATCAAAGCGATTATTGAAACAGAGTATTTTTGAGTACTGAGTACTTTCCAGTTCCTTTTTTAGTACTGAGTACTCTCGAGTTCTTTTGTGAATATGTACTGAGTTTTTTGGAGAACTCAGTATCGATACTTTTATAAATCGGGCGCTATCGATCCTTTTGTCAATCGAGTTCTGAGTACTTTTGTGCTCGATACTGCCCTACACTAATAATAATTAATATTTATTGACTAGCAGCACTCAACCCATTCCTGGAGGTTTCCCTCTCACATTTGCTTGCTTCCCAGCCAGTCTTCATTAAAATTTCAAGATCTGTTAAGGCCCTTAGATCCACAAAAAAATGTACTCTCTGTTTCAGTCGTCAAGTGGAGTCTGTAGTCTTTACGACTTACCACTTCTCACCGGATCCCCTTCGGGATACATCGCGTTCGTTAAATGATCCCGCAGAGAATCATTAGGATTCAGGCATAAGGAGGTTAATAAGTCCATATGTCGGCGTGCTTCTCCCTTGCTCTGTTGTTTAGCAATTGCTTTCCTACTTGTTATACTTATGGGCCCTAATATTCAGGGCCAGGCCTATATAGATGATGTGGCCTACCTAACTACAAAAAGAAGAAAGTTGAACGGCGTTATTGTCTCTACTGTTAAAGGAGTCACTTTTCACATTTATCCTGAATAAAGTATTTTTCGATTTAATCGTAGCCGGTAAACTTTTATGGAGGTCTCACATCAAAAGACTTCGAATATCTTAACGTCACGTAGAAAAATTCTTGGGATTTGCACTTAGTGTGGTGTGGTGTAGCAGACTCTCAATCAATAGCGTAGGAAATATGCTTGTCAGACTTGAAATAACAATCGCAGTGTTCAGTACGGGAGCTTTCCCACGACACCTGCGGCTGCTATGGATGTACTCCCAAACTTACCGTTACCGTGGGAAGCCATTTAGACTTACAAGAAATGCGTGCTAGTATGATACCATGTGGAGTGAGGTGGAATTCGGTGTAGACAGAGGTTTAGACTTTAATAATGTTTTTGAAATGGCTCCATAAGCTGAAAAAATACTACAATGCTGTGTCCCCTGAGACAAAGTTGTAGAATTTCTGCTTATATACCAGTATGCAGCTCTCAAGAAAAGCAAAAACTCCATATAAAATGACGTACAAGAAATGGCTAAGAAATTTTCTTGTGTAAAATTTTCTTGAGGCAATACGCAGTTCTTAAGAAATTTGTGAAAAAAGAGCACAAGGCAACCCATTCTTGCAACAGAGATATATGCCCGTTCCATTATTTCTTGAGGAAAGAACGAGACAACAGGCTGATGAAGTATCAGTTGTCAAAATTCCTTGGACACACACACAAAATAATGGCAATTTTTTTCTTGACCGTTTTCTTGAGAGCTGCATACCAGCCTTTCGGCTGCAAAGCGGACGCGGGTTCGGGATTTTGATCCACTTTTGATCATCGAATTCACCGGCAGAAACTGGGTGAATATTTCGCACAGCATTGATAAAAGGTTTCGAGGGCTGCAGGTGAAACTGACGTTGCTCTCAATCTCAGAAGGTCTACATACATAGGCAGGTATTTGCTTTCAATAGATACTGTTTTTTTGTACGCATTGCTTTTGTGTTAGTGTCGTCAAAAAATAAGTGTGCTGCGCTAATAAGGAACCCAGAACCTAGCTAGGGGGCAGTGAAAGGGACTTAGATATGCCAAATCGCCGCAATAGGTACCGGCATATGCCTTCTTTAACCGCCAAAGCACCACCTGTAGAGAGAGGTTCAAGTGAAGGAGTATAACATCTTGCGCATTGGTATTCCTCAGGGACCATCCTAGTAGCCACTGCCTCGTAGTAAAAAAGCCTATTCGTGGAATTTGACTGACCAACGGCAGGTATTTAACTTCAGTCTTAAGGATCGGTCAACACTTACGTCAGGTGGCAAAGGAAAATGGTTATTATAAATGTATTGTGAATACTTCGGTAAAATCAATTCCTGCCCCACGTTCCATACCAACTTACTTCTACGCATCTGACTCTTCTACCTCTGTCTCTCTCACTCTCTGTTGCAACCCTTTTGAAACTATCCGTTTTTGTCAACTTCACCGACCTCTGCAGGTTTGGATTAACGCCATTACAGCAACTATAACCCAAAGTTTCAGTTTTTTCTCCGATCTGTTTGTTCATTTAGTGGAGGTTCATACAATTTAACCGAAACTCTTCAGATTGGAACTAACTCCATATTTTATCTGTGTACCTACCAACACTATTGATCAATACATGTATCTTACATACATAATTTTAAATAAAAAAAAAGAACAGCGCGTAATTTTCCCACAGATTTAAATACTAACACAGATGAGGAATCATAACCTTTTCCTTCTTTAATATTTAATTTTTTTTTTAACATATGTATACTTAACAACTTTTGGATGACTGGCTTTCGCTTTTGCAATGACTCATTCGCATATCTGTATATTTATATTATACGCATGCAGAGCACTTCAAAGCACAAAAGCCGAGGTCAATAAACGTAACACGGGCTACAGAGTCACAAAAACAAAAAGAAAACGAAAACGAATCAGCAACTTCAAGCCAAGCACAGCACGAACTCGACAGAGAAGTTGAATTAGAATTGGGATCAAATACCACTGTCCCTACAAATAAAAGTCCAGCTTTACCTGCTGGTATGGATGTGCTAAACTCATGTTTGAACGAATTGAAGTTGGTCACACAACGCTACTCTAAGAAGCAAATTAAGTGGATTAATAATCGGTTTTTGGGCAGTAAGGATCGTCAAGTACCAGATTTGTATGAGCTCGATACGAGTGATGTAAAGCTCTGGCAAGCTGAAGTGTATGCGCGTGCTGTGGCGGTGATCGAAAGCTATCGAAGTGGGGTGGTGTGTGAGATACAACCAATGACGCGACGACAGCATCCGGGTGCGGGACTCAATGAGGAGGTAAGTTAAGGTGGTGGTAAAAAATAAACAATTCATGGTGATACCACTTTTACCGGTTGACTTTACTTTAGTGCTTATTTGTTTTTAGCATAGTTATTGAGAACCCATTTCACATGCATACACGTTTGCATCTGCGCGTATAGTTATTGCTGCTTTATTTAATTTCTAATAAACACTGCCTAATGTTTAATATTGAACTTACATATTTTTAGATTAGCAACTATTGTAAATCCTGCCAACGACACTTCATAGGCGAATTCCAATGGCAGCTGCATTTAAAATCCAATAAGCATAAGAAGCGTAGGGAGTCAATCAGAAAGAAAGAAAGGGCGAAGGGCTTGGGTACCATCACTGGAGATGTGAAGTCCTAAACATGTTTTCATTATACATGAATCAAACTTTAATTAAAACTAATGTCTTAAAACGAAATAAAGAAGTTACAAAAATATCTAATGAAGATGCTTAAAATGAATCTTTTATTTAATAAAAAAGTTTTTTAGTAGATTAATCCTGCCTAGAATTGGATAATCTTTCAACCATTTACATAAGCTCAACTAACTTTAGGCACAGAAAAACTGCCGTTTCGACGGGGTTAGACAAAAGCGATAGGCACGTTAGTTGAGTTGGGTTGAGTGTGTACAAATGCTGAACATACGTAAGGTATGTACGTTGGGGTCTAGTCTGGATAGGTTGGAGTTTAACCTCCTATAGTATCTTGACCGTAATTGTGCCAAAATAACGTGAATCTCTACTCGGCAGCTGAAGCTCTTCCTCTACAATTGCTAGAGATGGAACTAGGGTGATGGGAATTTTTTTAATGTACTACTTCAAATCGGTATATCTCGGGTTCTGCGCATCGTAGAGAATTCATCTTAACGTAACGTAAAGCTAAAGAAACGGGCTTATACAAGGTAATCAAGATTTTCCCAAAGCTAACTTGGCTATTAACAATTGAACTTTTAGAAGATGATTTGCATAGTGGATACCAGTAAATTAGGGTTTAAAATTATACCATCGTATTCCTAGCTTAATTCTCTATAAAAAAAAAACATTTTTAAAAAAATTGGGGGTTTTTCAAGAACTATTAAACTAATTTTTTTTATGACGAGATATTTTTTTTTTGTGAGAATCCACAATATTTGTAATTTATTTTCGAAAACTGATGTTGAGATATATTTAATAAGGTGTTAAACATCGGTTTTTTGCAAAAAATTTAAATTTTATTGCGGACTCCGATAGAATACCTATCCAGATAATATATTTGTACGGCAAGATTTTTCTTTAAGGCGACAAACCCCTAGAAATGGGCGTGGCAATTGCAGCACTAAAGTTAGAAAAACTCAGATTTTATTGCGGATTTCGGCAGAATATCGCTTCATTACCAATATTTGTTCCACAACTTTTCTCTACGATGCGCAGAACCCGAGATATAACGATTTGAAGTAGTATATGATTAGATCAAGAAAAACCGCAAACTTTGACAGATCATATCTCAGAAGAAAACAAAAATTTTAAATTCGTCGAAAACGGGTTAGCTTATTTCATGTATAGAACCCATAAAGCGAACCCATTGAAGCGAATCGGAGACATGACATAATTATTTTTACGAAATCCGTCCGACTTAAAAAAGAATGGCTCATATACGAAAACGAAAATTTCCCTCTCCATTTTCCCATTAATAATTCACAATGGAGCAGTTTTTTCACTTAACAACACTACTCTTCAGGTCGCGTATTTTTTAACCGACCTCCTTAGGTGAACTTGGATAAATAGCCGAGTTTGTATTGTTGCTTTGCGTGTATTTCGTCATTTAAGCGAGTGTTCTTTTGTAGCTCGGTTGCAAAAGAATGGACCTAATACATAACAAAGTTCATTGGTTCACCGAAATCTGTCCTAAATCCTATAAAAATGTCAAACAACAAAATTACTCTCTGAAGTGAGAGTAAAAAGTGAGTAACAACAAAAAGTACGGGAACAAAAAAAGCATTTTTCCTGCAAAACGTCAACCAGTGATCGCTTGACACTTTTCACTGGCAATTCCTTTCTCTACACAACTCTCCAAAAGATGAAGTATGGGATCATTTTTCCTGTAACTTCCTGCAAATTCGTGTAAAAACCGGTAAGCTCATGCAGTACTGGATCAGAGCTATAATTTGAAAAGAGCTAAACACAAAGCTAAATCTAGCTCCAAAAGCTCCAATAGCGCCAAAATGCTCTCCACCGGGAATTCTACGTAATTTCTCGCATTAACAAAAAAACCACAGCTAGTTTATTAATTACATACTTATCTTTATTAATTCAATAATGTCGTTATTTTTTTATTGTCGTCAGTACATATTGTTTATGTAAGTATTTAATACTATTTATTATTTTATTCTTCTTTACTTATATACATATATTTAATGAATACATTTTAGTTTTGTTTTCAATTGCTTTTATTATATGTAGTTATGTAATTACGTATGTATATATATGTATATGTTTGTTTGTAAGTGTATGTACTGCATATGTATGTTGTATATACATAAATACAGGGGATTAGAATTAAGCCTTTTATAAATTTGTAGATTTCAACAACTAAAAATGTCAACTAATTGTAAGCATTTACAACACAACAATTAACAATATTTTGTTAATGAAAGATTCGTAGTACAAGCGTATGTATGTATGTATGTATGCCTATTATGTTGCTAATTAAAATACTAACAATTGAATATATTTATTTTATATTTAAAAGCAATTAACACTTTAACGTATTATAAACTGATTAAAACTACATACTAATTCACATTTGTATGTACATACGTACATATGTAAGAACGATAGTGTGTATGTATGTGTGTTTGGGTATGTGAAGGAGTAAATTTTTATATGAACATCAATAACAATTAATAATACATATTTAAATAGGCATTCTTCATAAATATAATTACGGTATCTCATATATATACTGTATATTTTCTATTATTCATTTAGTTTTAACTTTTCTTGCTTTTTATTCATACTTAAACATAAATTATTATTTTTTTTCATTTCTTTTGATTTACTTATATAAATATATTTGTAGTGGTTTGATGAGACCTCTTTGTATTAAATATATTGCAAACACTTTCAGCGTTTTTTTTCACGAACATCGAGAATATGTGGATGTACATAATAAAGATGTATGTAATTACCAAAATGCAAACATACAGGCTATTAAAATAGTAATCGAACACACAGCATGAATACTTAACTTCCGAATTAATGGCATAAGTTGAACAATTTAATTAATTAGGTTGGTCTAGGTAGGGTATATATGAATATTGATACTATTACTATTTTTGGCAAAAATGTAACAAATACGAATTGCGATTTAACATTCAAACTTTAACGTGTTGTATGTACATATGAATTCTATTTATTGTCATAAGTTCATTCACCGATTCATTGCGAATAGTTTGGTTTTCTAATATGTACTACTCTGATGTGCGATCACAAGAATTAGATATTTACTCGTATATGTACTATATGTAGTTATGTAGATGTGTATACATATCTGCTTATCTGAAAGTGTATCGAGCCCTAACCGACAAAATAACGTAAGCGACATTTTTTTTCAAAAATTTTTTTTGATGCAGAAATGCATCTAGATGCCCTAGGAATATTTCTGCATCAAAAAGAAAATGTTTAAAAAAGTGTCGCTTACGTTATTTTGGCGGTTAGCGCTCGGTATGACTTAAAGTTCTATTAAAAAATGTTGTTTTTTCAAGTTTCGTACTTAAAAAAAATACTCAAAAAAATTACAAAACAGAGCTTATCCCCTAGCTTTTTCTGTTTTTTCCTATGCAGTGGACACTATGTTTTTTGTTAATTTTGTGATAATTTCGGACTTTTCTGTTTGGCTATCTGATTTTTTTTTTTGTTTTCCTTTACAAAAACAAAGGTTTGCATCTATTCAAGTTTAAATTTCAGTTTTATGCCGGCTCCGGCGGGAAAATATTTCAATTGCTGCCGATCGAGAAAGGCTAAGGATCATGCCGGTCGCATTAAGCTCCGTGCTTCGCGAGAATGTCAGCCCTTTCGCTGCCATCAAATCCCTCATGACCTGCAAGCCATCACAATCTAACTCAGTTACGGTTTCCTACTTCCTCCCATAGACTTTTACAACTTTCTACCATCATATAATTCTATAAGTAGCGTAACTCCTCTGACAATTTGTCAAGATTGACTATTTATCAAAAGAACTGCGACTAAAACTATGCTGCAAAAATATGGCGGTTTTTTTTTACATTGCAAATATTAAAAACGTAACACTATTCATCCATTTTTGACTGCCACTGTATGTACATACATATGTATGTATGTGAGTATGAGTATGCCATATATTTATCCACGTAAATGTTTAAATCCTTTACTAAGTACTACTTACAATACACATCTAAAAATATGAAAAGTTCGAAGAACAGCCAGGAATTCCAAAATGAAAATAAAAAATTATCAAAAATTGTCAAATTTCCAAATTTGATTGATATTTATTTACTTAGTTATGCAGCAGCAAAAGCGATGATATGCATTTATAACGACCTATAATTATGTGTAAATTATGTACATACATATTTATGCCGAGTCAATTTTTAAATATGGAAATATGCCTCTATATGTATGTATGTATGTATGTACTTATGAAGCAGGTAGAATGAAATAGGATATGTCATTTCCAGTGGTATCATATTTATTATTGAAATATGCGTACATGTCTGTTGTGATAATTTAAGCGTTCCGGTATTTTTTTTTTCATGAAAGACAATAAGACAAATAAAGAAAACAAAATTGGTCTGCAAATGCAACATTCATATATGTATGTATTATCATATGCATGTATGTATGTATATGTATTTATGTACATATGTATTTATGCAATGCATGCATACTGCAGAGTTGAAGGTTTTCGAAAATATTTTGACCACGGATTGTTTGCCTATTGTGTAAATTTGTTATTTAATACTTAACTGGTATCGTGGCGACCGAGCGACCCCCATAGAATGTTTGTTTCTTACGCATGTCTAGTTTGCGATGCCAGTTAAGGGTTAAACCAAAATGTCATGAAACCTACATATATATATATATACATATATATGTATCTATGTACATATGTATACTTTAAATAAGTTCTAACAAAAAAATTGGGTTGGTTCAATTAAAACATTAACAATATTCTAATATTTGATATGGAATATTTCATGTCAAATAGTTAAGTGACCCATAGTAAAATTTAGAAAATTTTTTTTTTCGCAGAAAATTTTAACCCTTTAACTCCATCCATAGTGGGTATTTTTGGCCTTATTTTGAAGAAAAGTTACAGATGGAGCGTTAAAATGTTCTACAAAAATTGTTAGCAAGACATTTTACAAAGGGGCCCCGAAGTTTCCAACTTTACGACTGAATCTCAGTGCGCTATTTATCTTCATATAAATATCGGGAATGGTGGTGTAAATTAAAAAGTAATTTATAAATCGAATTTATCGAAGGTGTTTCTTTACTAATTGTTAACCATGTCATTTTACATATGTGCGCTTTATAATTTTGAGCGAGCGTTTGATAAATGAGTACTTTCATGAAATCATGCCCAAGTAAGTTCCTTTAATAAATTCTTAAATTCCAATAAACAAATAATAAGTAAGAAATAGTTTAATTGCTTTAAAAGTAGTGAGGTTGTAAAATTGCTTAGCGTCATCACGCAATTTGCCAAATAACTTCGTATCGACTCGCCGACGAACTCGCCGTCGGATAAAAAGCCGGCGGGCCGCAAAAACAACTCCTATGTAGTACTAAACTACACCTCGTTTCAATATAAAAACCCACCACATGTTGACTATTTTGAACTATAAATTGTTTTCGTATTTAATTTTTGTTATTTTTTTATAAAAATTTAGTTAATTCTTTAACAAAAATTATATAAATCTAATTTAAAATTGTGTGCAATATTTAAAAATCAACAAGCTTTACTAAAACCATCGGTAAAAAGCATCGATGCTTTAATTCGATACATCAGCCTACCATCGATGTAATTTTTCGAAACATCGATTCTTCAAATATCGATTGTGATTTACAACCCTAATCTAAAAATCCCTAAGTAGCGCCATAAACGATGTTATAAAGAAATTGTGGCACAAATCAATCTACACTAGTTTGGAAAAGTCCTTTCGAGAAAAACGCAAAAGAAAAAATTACCTTTCGGCGCCTTTCTACCACTCCCAATTTTAACTTACGTAACTTCAAAAGTAGACACTTTGAAATTTGGGATAGGGAAGCGCTTAAAATATTCGAAATAGAATGTACTTTTTCAGGGTCGTGCCCTCCTAAGACAGTAGTTAAATTTGAAGTAAGTGTATACATAAAATAAATGTCAAAAATGTGGAACTTTAACCCACTGTAACAAGATGTTGATTATGTGGTGCAAAATCCTTTTCGGATTCGACTAGTATACTTCGGTATGGGCATTTTTGGCTGAGGCCCTAAGCAAAAATTCTAAAATTATTTCACAAATTAAATAATTAATAACTAATTAAAAACGATAGCTCAGTTTAAATGAAATTGGGTGTGATTACATGTTTTTAAAACAAAAAATATTCCATATCATGAAATAAGAAGTCACAAACATTTATTTAAAACCTAAAACCCAGTATAGAATATCAGCAATTTTTTTCCTTAAAACTAAAAGCGTACATACAGAGTTATAATCGGTGGCTGATTTTAGATTTTTTTTATTAACTTTGGCGATTTCTTTTATGCGACAAATGTTTAATGAGATTGCCGTTTCCTTGTTCTGAGTTTTAAGGTTAATTAGTCGGAACATTATTATTGTCTTTTGATTTCCTTTGATGTACGTTTATTTACAAGTGGAATTTGGTTTTTTAAACTTATGAACTCATGTTTCTTTTTGTCTTTTAAATTATTGTCTTTAGAAGTAGTGCTTCTTAGCTTACTCATTATATTTAGATATATATATGTATATAGGTAGGCATATATGTATATGTATGTATATAATATACATATTTTAGTACTTAACATATTATTGTATAGTTGAGTCTCCAAACCACTTTGACCACCGGAACACCAAATATGCATTTTTTTTTTGTTGCTGAAGTAGTCTGCTGTTCGCTTCTTAACAGTTTTCGTTAAATTATTTATAGGTATTTTTATGTATGTATGTTTAATATATATTTTTTTTCTTTTCGTCTTTGTTTTTTTTTTTTAATTTTGTTTCACTCTGATTTGTTTTCTTCGACGGTTTCTTATAATTTTCAGTGCGTGCTTTGGAAGAAATTCACTTTTTAGCACTTTCTTTTGTTGTATTTTCTTTTTTTTTATAATGTTTAGTAGTTTCTAGTTTTCTCGCCTTTTGGTTCTTTGTTTATTTACTCCTCTTCTTCGAGCGATTTTTCTGGCAAGCCATATTTCGGACAACACATGCCCTCTGTACCGTCCATATTGTAACAGAATATCGAACGTTCGATTTCTGTCGGCTCATGCGGCACAATGCCGTGAACCTCTTTCAGTTCTGCTTCTGGAAACCAAGCGGGATCGGAATCTTCTACCACTTTTATGCCACAAAGCCTGCGAAAGAAAATCATTTATATTAGGTGTTAAAATATAGTACAGTGGTCGAAAAAGTTACAGTCGCACCATATATTGACATATTTTTTTTTTATAATAAATATAGTTAATTCTTTAACAAAAACCGTGTAAATCCAAGTTTCAAACTTTGTTCAATATTAAAAAAAAATCAACAAACTTTCGTAAAAATGTCGAACTTTTTATTTAGAGTTCTTGGACAAATTTTGGGTATTTTTTTTTTTTTTGAATAAGTTACAGTTTTCTTCCACATAAAAAAATTGTGCTTATTCGTTATATGGAAGCAAATACGACTAAAAAATCAACGGTAATTTTTACTTTCACTTTATTGTACTAGAATTGCATGGGCTGCTTATTAAAAATTTATCCAAGAAATCTTATTAAATTGCTCGAAAATTTTACGAAAGTTGGTTGATTTTTTTTAATATTGCAAAAAGTTTGAAACTAGAATTTACACTGTTTATACATACTCGTAAAAGAAAAAACTTGTATGTGGATCCCTACGCGACTGAAGGGAAACTTCTTTCTATTGCCCGTTACATCGAAAATATGTGCAACTATACAAATCTTGAGCATACCTTAATATCGCTACGATTGGTATCCATAATATTGACGAGAGTATCAGGAAAAATGCGATGACAATACACCAGTGTGGCCATTCGAGTTGTTCGGTGAGCCCTTTAGCCGCTATCCAAGCTGGGTAACTGCTGCCCTCGGTAAGTAACTGATAGAAAGACGCTAGCAAGATGGTAATCATAGCGCAAGGAGAGAGATATTTCCAGCAAAACATCCAATATAAGCCAGGCCGAGAACCAGTCATCATTTCAATGTCATCGGAAAATCTACGTGGTAAGCAGTAAATAAAAGAGCGATTAGGGAGTAACAAAAAGGGGCGAGACATGCAGTATAGTATGTCACATATGTGAGTACATGCATACCTTCTAACACCGTATATATAACTGATCGAAAGGCATTCGCAAAGTGCAATGATCAGAAGTGGAAAGTTGCCAGCGAAACTGTCCATCAATTGAAATATGTAGCTGCCAGCGCCATTAGCAAAACACATCGAGATCAAACAGCAGGAACAGCAGAGGCCCTAAAATTATGAAATAAAAATATATAAGTATGTACTAATTTCTGCAAAAAAAAACCGGCATATGCATCTCTCCCATTACTCACACCCACAATCCATTCTTTTGGTAGATTCGGAAACAATTTCATATCGACCAGCGAGGTTACAACGCCTTCCAGTGTACCGAACTGTGAGTCAATGCCGAGTGTGAAGAGCATAAGAAAGAAGAGCACCGCCCATATCTGTGCGCCAGGAAATTGATTGATAGCTTCAGTAAATATAATAAATGCCAATCCGGTACCCGAAGCGCTCTGTAGTCAAGAAAATTATGGATATTTTAAGAATAAATTTTTAAATTAAAACAGTTTAAACTTTTCGCACTCACATTCGCCAACTCTTTTTCGAGATCACAAATTGGCAAATTCGTCGTTTTATTTTGCGCAATTAGATCTTGTCGTTCTTCGTTGCAACGATCGAATGTAGATGTGGCCTTGAAGCCGATCACGGAAAAAACGACAACTCCAGCAAACATAGAAGTGCCGCAATTTGTGAGAGAAACCAAAATTGCATCGCGATAACAATTGTTGTTGGCAGGATTGTAAGAACTAAACGCGATTAAACCGCCAAAGGCAAGACCTAAGGAGAAGAAAATCTGCGTGCCAGCCTCCAACCACACAACAGGATCCAGTAGTGTTTCCCAACGTGGCGTGAAGAGATGAGCAACGCCCTCTGAAGCGCCTGAGAAAATAAAAATACCAAATTTCCATGAGTCATTGAAATTACAAAAAAAAATTATCATTCAAATAATTGCACATGGCAACAAACTTAGTTAAGTGCAAAAAGCACAAAAAGGCAAAAATGGGTAAATAGGCAATGAAAGTGAAATGGGCAACAAAAAACAAAATAATTTAAATCTGGAATCAGGCAAATATTAGAATAAGCAAGTGCATTAGAATCCGGGTCCTGGCAATAGCACTATCGAGGATTTTCTGCGCCCAATTTTATCACTAAAATTTTTGTCATTTAATTTTTTAATATTCCATCTGTTTCCTGTCAGATAAATGGAGCGTCATTTAGTACTGGATAATTCAATAACTAAATGTATACTGTATGCATTAGGCATATTACTTTTGTTCTAAAACAGTGCTGGCCACACGAATCCTAAAAGATCTGCATAAAAATGTGTGCCAAGCACGTGAGAAGCGAAAGCATAACTTCGTTGGTGTCAAAAGACTAGCGAAAAACTGTACAATGTGAACGTTTTGGCCGGCATTGTTCTAAAACTAAGTATAGCTACATATAACCTATGGATCCACCCATTGCATGTTTTTAGGTTTTTAGTGGTTCTATAAAAAAAAGTTAATAATTCAAAATTGTTATATAAAAAATTTGATATTATTATTGAAAGTCTCCTGAAGAGAAACAATGATTTACGTTCGAAAAATATTGATGTTCAAGAATTCTATACCATTTCTACGAAAACTGGTTTTTCCCATATAAAATACTTGGAAAGCTTTGAGTGACCCTGAATGTTTTTTGATTTCAAAAAAAAAGTGTATATTTTTTCGATATAGAACAACCCTAGGGAGTGAGAACATTATACTTAATTTTTTTTGGACCACCCTGATGTACATACATACATTACACATGGATGTATTTTTTACAGTAGATTCTTTTTTCACGTAGTTCCCTGCGGGAACTTTTTGTCCAAAATGTTTACAGAAACCTTATTTTTTGTTGGTTTTTCTTCAAAGTTAATACTTTTATTAAAAAATTCTTGCATTGGGAAACTTTCATAATTTTTCGTGTCATTCTATTAAAACTTTGACGCACTTACCTTTCAGTGTAATGCCGCGAAAGAAGAATATAATGAGCACCACATATGGAAATATTGCTGTCATATAGACAATTTTACCGGACGACGTAATGCCCTGCACCATACAAATGTAAACAAGAAACCATGAAACAATTAACGATATAGCCATGTGATAATTAAAGTTTTCCGGCTCATTGACGCTTTCGGAGCATTGAAGTGTGGTGCGGTACCAGTAAAATTGTGTGGGCGAAGAGGCCTAAAAGCGATGAAAAAATTATCAAAAAAACATATCTATGTGCATATAAGAAAGTATGTATGTATGTATATACTGTTGGCTGTGGGTATCTATGTATGTAGATAGTTATATATTAAAATATATATGTACATATATTTTCATATGTAGGTAGATATGAACTTAACTGAAATCTAAAGTACTTGTACAAACTTGAGGTGTAATTGAATTTTGAAGAGATCTTTGCTTAGTACAATAATTTAAGAGTATTCCTTATTTGCAGTTTAAAGTTTCATTTGGTAGTTTTGTGAGTTTTTTTTCGGGAGCGAACGAATTTGTGATATTGTAAAATGGTAAAGTGTCACAGTAAAAGTTATGATATGTAGCAATGTTTTGTATTGGGAATGCACAACAAAGTTAGCGAGCACAAGCGCGTCCCGGTATATAATATAAGTAGGCCGTCTTAAGTGCCTTCTATAAGGGCTTTTTCTATTTACAATTTACGCGAATGTGTAATTTTATAATATTTAACATTATAAATGAGATTAAATATGCATTTTCGATTGCAATAAAACATATTTCATTTTGAAAGTTTATAAATAAATACCTTAAGAAAGTATGATTTTTATGAATGAAAGAAGCAGCTTTATAAGGACTCCAAAAGGCCTTCTGAAATAGGTCTTCGATTTGTGCCATCCATACAAAAAAGAAAGGAGAAAATAATGCAGAGTAGAAGGTCTCTTGACAATCACGACGGGCTCTTGGAAGGGATTTTAGCTCCTGAAATTATCTACTGGGGTATACTTTTAGTTGCTTAGCTCACTAGAGATTATTTACGGCTATTAAGGAAACTTTCATATTGGCTTACTTAGAGTTAGAGTTTTTATTTTTATAGACAAAATTGCAATTTTTTCTGCGGAAGGTGCATTTGCCGTAAATTTTTTAAACTTGAAAATGCCCGAATATTGTGTCCAATGGCGATGTTGTTTTCCTAGCGTATGTCTAACCTAAAGTTTATTTTACAGACACTGATGCCAATTCATCATGGCACCACTACTATGCACATTCCGCATAAATGATTTGAGGATAAGATTATCCCTCACAGATTGTATGATTTAATTCCGCTAGACTTTTTCTTCTGGGTTTTTCTAAAGACGTAGGTCTATGCCAATAAGCCGAAATAAACCGATGCCCTTAAATCCAGGCCAATGCTCAAACTCAGCCGGGTCTTCGCTCCATAAGAAGTCCTCGCTGACATATAAACGATGTTTATACATTACATTCGCCTTTCAAAAATAAATAAGCCTGTAAAAATAACGACTTTCGTTGATACCAGGCACACCCCTTCTTTTACATATTCTTTTTCACATCTACCTACCTGCATTCAATGAAAAAAATCAATAATAGAATTATCAAAAAAGCTTCAGAAAGCGTATCCATCAAGCACTTTTGTGGACATAGCTTCGGTTGCACACGTTCGTGGGAGGCGCATATAAAAAGATAAATAAATCGTTAAAGGTAATTACCGTAAACCAGCTTATTTAGAATTTTGGTTGGTAATAGCAACAATATGGTTCATTATGCTCTAAATACAATCTGTGCGCAAGATGACAATTTTGTGTCAACCTAACTACTATACTTAGTACATACATATGTAGGTATATCAACAAACTATCGCTCCGAAATTTTTAAGTAGTTCAGTACAAAATCAGCATTTTTTGGTAAATAGGCCTAGCAGCTCTTTGGCGATAAATCCATTTTATGCCGAATTAAAAAAAATTGCGTTAAAACGAAAAACGAGATGGTGGAAACCGGTTTGAAAAATTAAATACATTTAATCCACCCTTTGGGTATATCCCTAATCAAATCCTTTAATAAATTTCCATATGAGCAACATCTGGCCTACTCGTTGGCCTTACAATACGCAGTGTAATGCAACATGGTACAAATACATACCTACATATGTAAGTTATTTGTATGTATTTTTTTTTTTTTTTTGTTATATAAATATACTCACAACTCTTCCAGCCATTTTTTTTATTGGTGCTCGAATGAAAGATGTTCAATATATGTATTCGCTCATGCAGTGTATGTGTGTTTATGACATTGCATGGTGTGGCAAATGTTGTAATGCGCATGTAGTCTGATTTAGCATGTAGTCTGATTTAGCAGGTATGGAGTGTAAAGTACATAGATTTCTTTCTTACCACACATTCCGGCTCATGGTCATAAGTATAATTGGCATAGAGGCGTGTGGGGCAATCGGCCCACGGCAAAGGTGACTCAAAACTATGCAACAAGTATATGAGGCACCAGGCAATTATGGTATTATAATACAAAGCCACTATATAGCTGACAACTGCGGATGAAATGCCAATGCCGCCTAAATAGGGCGAAACCTGCAAGGGAATGGGTTAAAATATTTAATTATTAAATATATGTATGTATGCTACCCCTTATTGTTATTTTTCTTAGTTACCTGACTCCACACACCAATCGCACCTTTGCGCAGTCGTTGGCCTACAGCCAATTCTAGATAGAATATCGGCAATCCCTGTATGCACAACATTATGAAATAGGGCACAAGAAAGGCACCACCGCCATTTTTTTGCGCCAAATAGGGAAAACGCCAGACATTACCCAGGCCAACGGCATAGCTTAAAGATGGAAATTTTGTTTTTTAGTCAAAAAAAATTTATTTTTTTTTAGCACCCTTGTCATAGCATTTCACTTACCCTATAGTAGCTAGCAGAAACATGATTTTATTGTCCCAACTTTCGCGCTCATCACCCTCCTTGCCGCCCTCGACAATGTCCTCTTCTGCTGCTTCAACTGTGGCCGAAACTGCCGCTGCCAATTCAGCTTTTGATTTACTGGTACTCGCCTCTGCACCGAAGCCGTCCGGTTCCAATTCGGTCGATTCATCAAAAGCATCACCCAGAAATGCTTGATTGGTTGCACCATACATAGGTGGCTGATGATGGTGGGGGTGATGATGATGTGTCCCACTGCCATGGTGTTCTTTGGGTACAAGACGACCACGCATTTCCTTTAAAGAAAAAGAATTTGCAAAACAAAAAATCGGATGAGAGGTAGTTACATTAATGTTTTTTGGCACAAATCAAATGAAAAAGTTTATTGGAAAATGATGGCGCTGTTTTTTTTCATGATGCTACATACATGTGTATGTATTTGTTTAAAAAAAAGTTAATGTTTATTGATTAGAATTATTTAGAATATTTCATCCTTTTTTCTATGCTTAAGCTACCTACCCGTAATTCCATATGGTCAATGCTCTTCTGACTCTTCAGCACGATGTCGCGCGAGCTTTGTCGTCGCAAAAGTTGTGCAGTGTTCGCCATAATGGTTTTATTTTTTTAAATTTTATTTATTTATATGGTCGTTTAGTTTGTTTTACTTTGATTTTTATTATTATTTACTAGCGTATGTGGTTGTTGTATTTTCCCAGTGGGTTTGTTGCATTTATTAAATTTCAGCAATAGTTTAGTTATTCGATTTATTTAACAAATTATCGGAAGTAGACTCCTTTGCTTGGTGTATCTTATTTAACACTTAAACACTTTCGTACATAAGTAAAGGTGTAACTGCGCTTTCTTTACTGCCTACAGTGCTTTGTTGTTGTTCTTCTCAAAATGGGGAATCAACGAAGTGTTAGGTTTTTAGTAGTGCTTTGCAAATATATTTTGATATGCTCGGACATGCGTTTCATTTTTTACAGACTATTAAATATGTGGTTAAAAATAGTTTAGTTTAACAGAAATTTTGAAACAGTGCTAAAAGGAAAACTAACAAGGATGTTGATTTTTATTTACAAAGAAAGAAATAAAATAAATGTACTTAGAAATTTAAGCCTTCGAAATTCCCTTAATAATTTGCAAGGTGTAATTTTTTTAGTTTTAAAAATTATTGTCCATATTCAAAACCAGGCTAATTCGAAAGAGATAACCTTATGATACAATAAGGATATTTTTATTAATTTTACATAATGTTTTTGTACGAGATAGCGATGCTTGAGTGAAAGATCTACCTATCTCGGCAGCCAGTTTGAAAACGCCCTATCTCAGGAAATTTTCCGAGAACGCCCTATTTCAGAATGAGGTTGAAAAACACCCTATTTTAGATTTGAAGAACGCTCTTTTTTTTAGCTCTGACCCTCACATTTCTAAGCCCATTTGTAGAAGATTCTTCGCTTCTAAAAAAATTTAAGGAATAAATGTTTTTAACGAAGGGTTATTCAGCCGAAATCAACAATAAACAAGTAAGAAAGTCTAATTTCGGGCGGAGCCAAACATTAAATGCCCGGCGCAAGTATTAAATATATGTTTTTTCACCATTCCGAAACCTACCGCTAGATGGTAAGCCGAAATATTGAAGTTTCAAGCATTTCTGAAATTTACCGTTACATAAAAAGCGTCCGTAATTTGAGTCCATTTTCAATAATTTTCAACGTTTTGCTTTTATGTGTCAATCACAATAACCATACCGAGTTTGGTACAAATTGATAGAACGGTTACCGAGATACATATATGTGATAATAAATGGGCGGTGCCACGCCCATTTTCCAAAATTTTATCATAAACGTATTTCTTGGTAAAGAATAGTTGCAAGCATTAATTTTGAATAAATTAGCTTTAATATNGTGCAGCGGTTACCAAGATATACACATGTAACCATAAGTGGGCGTGGCTACGCCCATTTGCCAAAATTTTAAAATATTCTTATTTTTCGTCTAAAATTTATTGTAAATATCAATTTTGAGTGAATAATCTTCAGTAGTTACTAAAAATATCGCAGACATGGCTTAATCGACTTCTCTATTCATTCTGAGCATTTATGTATATATTTGCCTATATCTATCTCGATTCATTTTGGCTGTTACAAACAACCGTTATGTTAACAAAATTAATATACCCTAGTGCACAAGTGCGCTCGGGTATAAAAATTGTACGATAATGCACGAGTACGGCCATGTACGATATGGCGTATGAGTAACATTATTTCCTGCTTCTATTTCATACAAAAATGTGTAAAGGTGTNAACACCCTATTTTAGATTTGAAGAACGCTCTATTTTTTAGCTCTGACCCTCACATTTCTAAGCCCATTTGTAGAAGATTCTTCGCTTCTAAAAAAATTTAAGGAATAAATGTTTTTAACGAAGGGTTATTCAGCCGAAATCAACAATAAACAAGTAAGAAAGTCTAATTTCGGGCGGAGCCAAACATTAAATGCCCGGCGCAAGTATTAAATATATGTTTTTTCACCATTCCGAAACCTACCGCTAGATGGTAAGCCGAAATATTGAAGTTTCAAGCATTTCTGAAATTTACCGTTACATAAAAAGCGTCCGTAATTTGAGTCCATTTTCAATAATTTTCAACGTTTTGCTTTTATGTGTCAATCACAATAACCATACCGAGTTTGGTACAAATTGATAGAACGGTTACCGAGATACATATATGTGATCATAAATGGGCGGTGCCACGCCCATTTTCCAAAATTTTATCATAAACGTATTTCTTGGTAAAGAATAGTTGCAAGCATTAATTTTGAATAAATTAGCTTTAATATTTACTGATTTATCGGAGATTTTGTATTTCTCTAAATTACCTTTATATGTGGATGTGGGCGTGGTTATTGCCCGATTTTAAAAATTTTCGGCCATTTGGTATGTTGTACCAGGGCCAACCAACTGTGCCAAGTTTGGAAGAAATTTGTCATCGGTTACCAAGATATACACTTTTAACCACAAGTGGGTGTGACTACGCCCATTTTCCAAAAATTTATAATATTCTTATTTTTCGTCTAAAATTTATTGTAAATATCAATTTTGAGTGAATAATCTTCAGTAGTTACTAAAAATATCGCAGACATGGCTTAATCGACTTCTCTATTCATTCTGAGCATTTATGTATATATTTGCCTATATCTATCTCGATTCATTTTGGCTGTTACAAACAACCGTTATGTTAACAAAATTAATATACCCTAGTGCACAAGTGCGCTCGGGTATAAAAATTGTACGATAATGCACGAGTACGGCCATGTACGATATGGCGTATGAGTAACATTATTTCCTGCTTCTATTTCATACAAAAATGTGTAAAGGTGTTTTATTTATCCAGCAATTTCAACCCAAATAAAAAAAAATTACAAAAAATGTGTTGATTTTTTAATTTTTTCGTCGTTAAAGTTTGAAAATTTTTTCGGAAAAATTAAAATATATTTGGAAAATGTCGTGATATGGACAAACGGTAGACAGATCCATAATTTACTTCCCAGAATTTATTTTATGTATCCCGGCCTTTTTGTGTAATTTCAAGATTTGAGATTTTCCCTACAGTGTTATGTAGTGAACACTTTTCCACCCTATTGAAAGCTGGCACCACTGAAAGTTGGTGAGAACGTGAACCCGAGCACCAGCCGATGATGAAGGAAGCAATGTCGTCGCTGAAAACCAATATAGCAGAATATGGTCAAATGGACGCTTGGAATTTAAGTGTGCTTTGCCTAATCCACAAGAATCTGCCAACTACAGCGAGGTCAGCCTGTCTGATGATAATTGCTGGCCTATGCCGACGACATCGACATAAATGTTGTTTTTCGCCTTATCGGAATTAAGTATATAGAGATAAAGCACTTGGGCCTGGTGGTGATTGAGAACCAAACAAAATCCTTGCAGAGGCGTACCACGACATCATCAGCTAAGGTGGCCCTTGTAGTGTACCCTGAGCAAAATATTTCGGAAGATATGTGGTTCTTTATGCATTTATGACAGCGGGTACCGAATGACAATGGAACGAGGAGCTGTATGTGCCAAAATAAAGCGACAAGTGCTGGCTAGGCTGGTGGCAAAAGAAAACCAATGCCTCTTCTTGAAGAAATTGGCTTCACTTAGAATTTCGATTGGCGTGCTATGTTGAAGTCGGCCAAAGCGGTTACTACGCCAATCTAAAAGAAGAAAATGCTTGCATGTAGTCAAAGAGCCAAGCGCTGCACGAAAACCATCAATGAATAAAAGTAATGGGCACGCACACACACATTACTCATACGCCCTGTCGAGCGTGAGCAATAAACTTTTACTAAAGAAACCGCTATCATCTAATAATGAAACTAATATCCTAAAATTTTCCAATGCGGTATCCTATTGGATACCTATTAAAATATATGGAACCTATTAAAATAGAGCGTTTATTATAGTTTTGTAACTTTGATCAAATTATCAATACACTGAGCTGATTGCTACATACATATTAAAGTATTTATAGATAATTTCCTTAATACCACAGGGCGTATGAAATATGTATGTTGTGGTCAAATTAAGGGCATACTATTACAAAACTAATACACATACTTGTGTATATTAGACTCATATACATACATACATACGTATGTATGTACATACGGTGTACCTCTGAAATAAGTCTCACCACCAGACATTAATCACTCAGCAGACCTTTGCACCATTATGCCCTTAATCCCTTTTTATAGGCACATAAACTACACATACATATGTACACATGCACATATCTGGAAGAGCTTATTCTAATAAATATAAAATATTTACGATAAGGAACCGGAACTGCGAGATAATAAATGTATGTATGTATGCATGTACACTAGGGTATATGTTATAAGCTTTTTTTATATCTGCCGCAATTGTGCACTATTATTATAAATTATTGGAAAATGGGATTGGTCCGCCTATTTAAAATAAGAAAGGTGTAAAAATCGTGTTTTTGCCAAAATGTAAAAATTATTGCGGATTCCGATAGAATAAATGTTTGTTCCGCAAGATTATTGTTTAAAGTTAGATCTCGGCCTATCTTACATTTCGTTTATTAATTTATGTATAGTTTTCGATGCTCTACCCATCAGTTTGGTTCCAATCCATGGTAAAATGAACCCGCTCTAAGGGACTTCAAAGTAAAAAAATTAAATATAAAAGGGCCACTGAATACTGTCAAAGACACATAGATATAACTTATTAATTAATCGATTTTAACTGGTTGCAATCGCCTTAAAAAATATTTTCGCAATAAATCGTTTTGAAGCGTTTTTCATTGTGGGTGTAAAACAGTGATTTAATATTTTATTTAACTTATAAATTAATGGATTTTAACTTTTTAGAAGGTGGCAGCTCCCTTCCAGATTATACTCTTACTTTGCGCTAAATTTCATTGAAGTAAGTCCAGCCAAATCATGAATGAAATTTATTTGTGATTGGATTCCTCGTATCCATTTCCATTTAATTAAAACATATAAGGGGCATTCACCAAATTGAACAAGTGACTTGGCAGTCTGGCATAAGAGCAGATTAGCTCAGGCAAAGACTGTTGTCAATATCCATATAATTTTTGCGCGCAGTATTCTTTATACTCCTATTACATTGAATTGAATTCCTTTATAGAAATTATCTTTAAAGTTCATAAAAAAACAGGCATAATTGTTATTGACTAACCAATTGGGGTACTCACTATTCGTTCCAAATTGTGTCTCAAAATATACACATCAACATTTTGAAATATTTTTAGCATCAAACTGTGAGCACTCCTTTCTAGCAATCGTTGCAAAATTTTACTGGTGTTGCCAGACATTTTTCCTTTTTGCGTGCATTTTTTATACATATGTCACCTTTCTATTTTGGTTCTGGAAAATTTTGATTCTTTAACTTAATTACCAATTGTTAATATTTGTTCTTTCTTTTTGGTATATTCTTATCCGATGAAAATTGGAAAAATAAGAACCATCCTAAAGTAAATACTTACAAATGGATATCGATGCAACTAGCATATAAAAGGCCCAAGTATGTACATATTTGGATACATCATTGCCCATTAAATGAATGAATAGCTCATGCGTATGTATGCGTGTATGTATGAACATTAGGGTGGTCCTTCAAGCAAATTTTTAACTCAGATTTGCAAAGCCTCAACCCCTAAGTCGATGCTACTATAGCCGTAGATATGACATACAAATTTTGGTGCCGATTGGAGACGGTTAAGGCGTGTCGCACAGGGGTCAAAGTTCAGATTACCCTATGAAGACAATTTAACCCACTCTAATTGGGACCAAAATTTATATGTGATACCCTCGACTTTAGTAAATTGTATCGATTTTGGGTATTAAATGTGAAAAAAATATATATATATATATATATGTATATATATGTATATACATTTAATTTTTTTAGTCCATAGAGGCCTTAGACCCCTTCGCGACACGCCTTAACCAATCCAATCAGGACTCCAATCAGTACCAAAATTTATATGTGATATCTTTGACCGTGCTATTACCGATTGGAGGGGTGAGACTGAAAAAATCGTTCATTTGATTTTTTAAGGACCACCCTAATGTACATGTCACATACGTTTTGCTAAAGTGCACTACTACGAAATTTTTAGTTTTTGGTATAGGGAACTTAAATGTTCACAGACCGTAAACTTACGCTCCATTAAAAGCTGAGGCAAAAGTTTGTTATAATTTATTTAAAAAAAAAATCGTTTTATGACAAAGAGGAAAATTTGAGATAATACGCTTTTGAAGAAAGTGTGCAATATGCATTTACATACATACATACATACATATGTATAAGACATATGTACACATAAATATTGCCACAAAACATCATTTTGGTAGAATTTAAACGAAATTTATTTAAAAACTAATGCAATTAAGTGCCCCACTCTTTTAAAATTTTCATGCTCACTGAAATTTCATGCTCAACTTTAACACTACTCCAATGCTTCCGCTTCCGGCATGTTCGCTTTCTTTTCACTTTCGCCTTCACTTCACTGTTCTTCTTTGATCAAACTTTTACGTGTTGTACATTGAGTGCTTATATAACTAACACCAAATACTTTTTGGACACCAATTAGCCAACGACGAAATGAACAAAAGGACCGACCGTACGATTAAAATTACCAAAAATTTTTGACGACGACTATGCGACCATTTACGAAAATTACCGACCAAAATGGAAAACACAGCGCTGCTTTGGTATTTTGTGGACGGGAAACCTTTTTTATTTTGTTAAAGGATTGTGGATACCGCCTCTAAATTCGACGCGCCGACTTGACTGCTGAAGCCAATTGTGTGAATGGTGTTGCGCGCTTTTTGTTCACAAAAAATTTAACAAGTGGCACGACCAAAAATGCTGTGTGTGTGTGTGCTCACAATGTAGGTATGTATGTATGTATGACGTTCAAGCAGGATATGAGTATGGAGGGCATAACTATGTAGTGACTATACACACTTTTCTAATCGCGCAAAGTTTATGTACGCCCAGAACGTTGATATTGGCTTTGCGCGTTTCCAGCTTACGGTCATGAGCGTTGCTTTAGTGGTAAATTCTATCCAAGAATATAGCAAAGCAATTGATTTTCAACGCACAAAAGGACACAACCAAGCAACCACACGATAGCGATAGCCACCCACATGCATGTGTATGTATGTATGTATGTTAATGTAAGCACAACGTTTGCGTAACAGTTACTTATACGAAAATTTCTTTATCAGCCATAAAAAAGCTTTACTCTATTTGACTATGGCACTGCGTATTCCTTACTTCAGTATTTTCTATAACTTATGCACTGTGCAACCAAAAGAAAATCCGCTTTTAATTAAGTGTATATTATCAAGTCGATAGGTGGATAAACTGCGTGGCATTATTGGCGAGGACCAACGGCGGAGACAAGTGAGTGTCACAAAGCGAAAAGCGAGACTGTTAAGTAAATGGTAGGTCTGTTTTGCTGCGAGTCAATGTTCATATCGCTCGCAGGATATGTTAAACGTCGAGTAAAATGGTACGAAATGAGCAAAGAAAATGACGGCAAGCATATAAAAAATCCAGCAAGCTTTAATGTAACGAGTAATTGATAAGAGATTGTTTTTGTGTAGGTGGTTGAATGTCAAAAAGGAGCTGACAGTTGAAACAAGAGTATTTGGAACATTGATAAAAATACATATGTACATATAAATTCTCCAGGGTGGCCCAAAAATACATGCGGGAACAAAAAATTTAAAATGTTAAGCTCTACCCTCCTAGGATTTTTTCTAAATGAAAAAATAATACTCGAATTTTTTTGGTTAAGAAAATTATATTTAGAACAGCCTTAAAGCCAATGAAGTTTTCCATGTACTATTTTAAATCGAGCCCTAACCGCCAAAAAGATGTAAGCGACATTTTTTTCAAATTTTTTTTATTTTTTTGATGCAGAAATGCATCTAGATGCTCTAGGAACATTTCTGCATAAAAAAGATTTTGAAAAAAATTACGCTTACATCTTTTTTCCGGTTAGGGCTCGATATGGGGAAAAAATGGTATAGAATTCTTAAAAATCAATATTTTCCGATCTTAAAACTCTATTTCTCTTTAGTAGACTTCCAATAACAACACCCAATGTATGTAGTCGATTCCACAGAAAAGTAAACCAGTCCGATTTTTTATTTGATTTTATTTTTTTAAATATTGTACATATTGTTGATTATTGGTATTCATAATATTTGTCAGCTGTTTATAATGCCAATTCTTATCAGGTCCAAGCATTTCGTGTAAAAACAGTTTTCAATGCTGCAACAAGGAAAAGCACAAAAATATAAGCTTTCATTGATTTATTTTGGTTCTAGACGATAGAAAATAAATTATGGGTATTCATAGAATCTCGTAAATGCCTCGTAACTGCGTAAACCTCGTAAATAATTCAATTTTCCATGCGAAATTAAGTAAGTTTACGAGGTTTAGACGGCTCATGGGATGGAAAGGACTAAGTATTTCCTACGATCTTACCCAATGGCATGGCGAAAAGTCATCTTAAAAGATTGTACTAGCAGCTTAAGGAAAGAAAGCAACAAACGAAGGCGAGCTCCAATTACTCCTAATGTATCCAGAAGCGTTTAAATTTGCTTTCATAAATGAGAATTCACTGACTTCAAAGTATGAAATTCCACCCTAAACAGTATGATTTGGTGAAGACTTGCAAACTGTTGAGCGTAATCATGAGAATGATTGCATAAAAATACCGATGGCGCTGGCATGGCCAAACAGTACTTATCCATGATGATGCTCCGGTGAAAAGACCTTTTGACTTGCAACCCATTAGTGGGAAATGAAAGTTCGTGCACGGCAAACAGAATGAAACGATGAAGTGCAGAATGAAAATAGAAGAGAAAATTGGCGAAGTCTTTAGCCCTCGGCCCAACCGACAAACCTTGGTAGTGCCAAATAAGAGGGAAAAGTTGTTACGTGTTGTCGTTGTTGTAACAGTATAAAGATCCTCAGAGCATGTGAATCGTTCCGGTTACGCAGACCCGACTGCCGTGAAGACGTTCTGTCCCGTGTCTTCTTCATCTCCGTTACAACGTTGTCTTGTTGGTTGTTTATCTATTGGTCGAGGAACTTTTATTGTTTTCTTTTTTTATCTACAAACATGAACGTATGTACTTATAAAAAAAACGTAACAAATGTAACTTTAAAAAAGTTTATTTTAAACTGCAATTAAAAAACACTTTTGATTTTTTATTTTGTAATAACTACAATTTACTTAGATATGTATAAGATTTACTACTAATCTCCCAGTCTAAATACATACACATAAATAAAAAAGCAATCACAAATATTCATTATATATATATACATATGTACACATGATTCAGTATTATTGAATCATGAGATGTACATACATACATATGTTTCGTCTAGAGTAATTTCGACAGAGTCCGACCGATTCCAACTTTTTTTCAGGTACCGATGGCTATTCGGATTAATCGGCCGATGCCGATTCCATAAACCAATTACAAATAAATGTATTAATTCACAAAATCAGTAAATTTAACAGAGTTAAAAACAAAAGAAAAAAATACATAATTGAAGTAATTGGCTTTTTATGCAACATTACATACACATGTATGTATGTACATACAGATCGGACGTCTAATAATATAACCCCACTGGGAAAATAGGTAAGCACGTTACGAAGTAAGCCATGTTTTCTTTCAGTTTTTAGTACCAAAATTGTCATCACTTCCAATGTCATCTACTAGTAAAGCACAAAATGAACACCTACGGGAGATTCGCCAGGGAAAACATGGTGTACCTCGTAAGGTGCTTACCTATTTTCCCAGTGGGAACGAAGTATTTAAAAATATCAATTTTGTGGGAAAAAGCAATCAAAGTTTCATGAATTCATACAGTTGGTATACCAAATGATAGATGAAAAGCATGGTGTAATAATTATTCCACCATGGATGAAAAGAAACATACATATCTACGCCATATTTGGGAAGTTTATATGGTTTTGGTATATGGATTTTTTTTGTTAATTATTTTTTATAAAAGTCTAGCTGGTATACAACAAACACCATATCAATTCAGATTTCTAACTTTGTACAAAAACAAAATTTTGGTATGCAGTTTTTTTTTGTAGGCCATTTAATTCTAGTATAATGGAGTGCAAGTTTCAAGCTGCTATAAAATCTCGTTAATGTTTAGCAATTTTTTTGCTGGTAGTGTCCTCCATATAAAAGAAAATGTCGAACATACTTTTGTATGGAAAAACGTGAAACACCTTCAACCAAAAAAATTACTTTTTGTGAGCTGCCTGCAAATGTTTTTTGATGTTGGCTATTGTCTGTCGTTTCCCCTGAACATACGAAATGAAATTCTAAATAATCGGCGAAAAGACCGATGTCGATTCTCAATTTTGTGCCGATACTAGCCGATGCCGGACTCTAAATCTCGACTTTTATTAGTTTGAGTAAATAAAAAAATGTAATGGAATTATATATCGTCCCGTTTCTGCCTTAACCTCGTATCTGCAATAGAGGTATTTTAGAGAGTGTAAGAAAAAATACTTAATTTCTTCCCCTAGGATACAATAAACGCATTTTTTTACTTAATATTTCTGGTTCCACTAACAGTAGTGAGCACCCTCATTAAATCTTTGTTCTATTTTCAGATAGTGTGACGCTTAAACAGCTGTTATAAGTGGTAATATTAGTTTCCCCAAAATTTGTAGATACGTGGTTAAGGCAGAAACGGGACGATATGTATACATACGGATATGTACATAAATAAAGTAAGGCAACGGAATCACTTCAAAAATACAAGTTTTAAGCAAAAAAAAAACACCGACTTCAATTTTCATATAAAAATTTAAGAGTATCGCCTGCTCCTTTTTTTAAGTCGGTTCAAAAGAATGACAGAATCTTAATTCAAAATATTTTGCAATCCATAGAAGTAGTTATTACGTGTAATATGATTTTATATATCGACGCCTTTGCGCGAAATTATCGTAAGTAGCATTTTTTTCGAAATTTACTTTTTGATGAAAATTTGTTCTACACCCCACAGTTTTACCAATGGTAAAATATTATAGCTAAAATCCGTATAGTTACGCCAAAAATTTACTGTATATTTGATAGTATTTTACAATGGATTTTTTAAGGCGAAAGTATCGTATGTATGTGCCATACAAAAGTATTTTGAACGTAGTAAAAAAAAATCAAAATAAACAAAGTTTTAAAAAATTTTAAAATTATAAAAAAGGCGAATTTATACAAGGTGGTGTTACCATGATACAAATATTTGTATCATGGGTGTTACTGGCAAATTTAGATTTTGGCCGCGGTCCTTCTGTATGTCAAAAAAATTTGTTTGTTTTAATATGAATTCGCCTTGTTTACAACAAACACATTATTTTGACATTCAGAAGGACCGCCGCCAAAATCTAAATTCGCCAGTAACACCACCTTGTATAAATTCGCCTTGAGTATAAAAAGCGCTCTCCTGTAAAATTTGTTTTCTGGCACATACGATAATTTTGCGCAAAGGGGTCGATATATAAATTTTATACATATACCCCCCAAAAGATAGCACATCAACATTTTTACCAGTTTTGACTACTTATCTTTTGCTTTTTTAAGATTCATTATTTTTATAAAAAAGTATAGCTCTGTATCTAAAAAATACCATATAAATCTAAATTTCAGACTTTGTACAAAATTTATAAACATTCCACAAAATTTTCATCCCAATTCCAAGTATTTTAATTTTAAGTTCTAGAATAATTTTTGGTATGCAGTTTAATAGCTTATTAAATTCTAGTATAATAAAGTGTAAGTTTTTAGTTTCTAAAAAATCGCGTTGATTTTAGATAATTTTTGTGCTGACGGTGTTATGCACTCTTTTATTCTATAAATTAAAATTAAGATGCACGGATTGGCATGGATTGTACAAAGTCTGAAATTTAGATTTATATGGTATTTCTCAGATAAAGAGCTATACTTTTACATATATAAAAATAATGAACCTTAAAAGAATCAAAAGAAAAGTAGTCAAACCTGGTAAAATTGTTTATGTGCGTATGTACGTATTCTATACAAATAAATGTGTATGTATTTAATGCGAGTATTTTCACCAAAAAGCCATTCATTAAAAGCCTTTTACATATTTGGACTTCTTTTTCACTGGTTTTGGTTTGGGTTTCAGTGATATGAATTCCTCCTGTTCAGTCGGTGAACCAGGCATATTAAATACACTATTAGTTAGTTGCGTTGAATGTTCTGCCGGCATAAATTCGTCCAAAAATGAGTTGTTTCGGCCAACAAAATCGGCTTCCAAATGAAAAGAAGTTTCCATTTTAATAGACTCAGTAACATCGGCACATGGAGCATGAACCATTGACACAACAGTGGAATTCAACGAAACGAAGTGCTGATTGATAGCTGAAGTAGCAGATTTAGGGAGTTGCTCAGATTGCGTTTCCTGGGACTTTTCCTCTGCTTTGATATTTGTATCCAACCATGAGCACACAATGCTTTCAGGATCAGCTTTTGCACCCAGCCCTTTCTTCATACGAGAGTATGACATATCATTTTTATCATCCTCGAATTCAATATCCCATATTGAAAGTAAATCTTGTACTAAAGCGTCTTTATAGGAATGTAATGTTTGTATTGATTTTTGCCAACGTCCAAAGCCACGCCTTTTAGGTGGTATTTCCTCTTTTTCAGCTCTTTTATCTTCTTCAGAATTGAGTGGGGCGCTAAGCGCATTACAGCGGAAAACTTTGCGCATACCTGCAAAAAGTAAGGAAATAATGTCTTAAGTGTTGAAATTTTGAAACACAAATCTTATATCGATGGTTCTCTGTAAAAATGGCAATAAAAATAGGCACAGCTGTTAAGTGTTTCATGACTCTAATCCTTACTGCTTATGTTGGTAACGCGCACTACTTGCTTTAGTAAGGATGGGGCTTGGATTAGACAAGGGTTACAGACATGAGACACTTTAGGGGTTTGTTTCTTTTTTTTTAATTTTGAGTGTGTGGATTATCGATATGTATGTACATAGCTAGTACATACAGCTTTTGAAATCAATTTACCTTTTAAATTGACCACTTCTGTACAATTTAATTTTGGCTGCGTGAGTTGGCAAACACGATTCGCATACGCATGCATCGTATGTTCACCCTCATTTTCAGCCTTCGAACGAGTATCTGGCTCTAGCGTATCATTCGCGATCAACCGACGTGCATACACATCACCAATCGAATTTGATGTGAGTAACAAAGCAAAAGTGCCACAATCTTCCTCACCAATACATTCCGAGAACGTTTCAGTGTCGAAGAAGGTCAGGCCAGTTGTACAACGGGCTATACGCGATTGCAAGTCAGCATCGGGCTGCAAACATTTGCCTGCGACCCGAGCTTGTTGGTAAGCTTCCTCCAGTGTTGATGGTTGGTATGGCAGACAATATGATTTATACACACTCTTCTTCGATTGCTTCTTTCCCACCGATTCATCTAGGATATAATCTTCTTTATCCACGCTTTGCGCTGAATGACTGCGGGTAAGTTCACAAATGCAAATATCATCTGCTAACGCACTACTAAGAGCAATAAATTCTACGCCACCAAAGCGGAAATTATCAA